GCGAACAATAGCAATTAACAGGTGGTTCCACGCTCTTGAAAACTTCCAATTTCCCGATCAGAGGCCTTGCTTCCGGATGGAGTTCGTCGTCATACCCAGGACTAGTGAACGTTCATCAAATACATTTAATAATAATATAATTATAATTATCAATGTTAAAAAGACAATTACTCAGCCATCTCATAAGACAAACCAAACGAAGATTTGATGACACTGGAAAAAAAAAACAATCAATCGTCGAGCGGGTAGCTGAGGACAGAAGAAACAGTCTTCCTCGTGATCCTTTCAAATAGCTTGGTGGCGCCGACCTCGACTCCAAGCCCTTGACTGACAGTAGAAGAACACAGGATAGGGTGTGAATCAACCTTAGTCCGTAACACTAGCTTTAGAATTCAGAAATAGCCACCCAAGGCTTACTCTGAGGGTAGAAGAGATACCTAAGTGTATTAGCATGTAAGTGAATGCTATGAACTCAACTTGAATTCGAACTCGGTTACTCAGTCCGAATCGTTACCCATCATTCTACTATGCATCCCAAATGATAAGCCCTATTTGCGCGGAAGTGAATATAACGAACCCGATTGGAATTCGAACTCGGCTCTACGATTTCCATATTTGAGCCGTTATCTATTACACCACATGCATATCCAAATGGTATTCCCAAGCGGACACACAGGTTCGAGGTGGCGTAACTTCGGTGATTGTACGAGAATCGGTGTAAGCCAGTCATCATGAAGGAGATGGAAACAAAACCTTGCCAGGCAGTAGAATTCGTTATGTTTGAAGATCAGAGAATAAAATTCAAGCAAATGTTCAAACTTGACTTTCCTAAAATTCTAGTCGCAACGGTTTATTAATTCCACGTTCTTGCTTTAATTATTCAGTAATAATAAATTTTTATCTCTATCTATAAAAGGCAGGATGTGTGTGTGTGTGTGTGTGTGTGTGTGTAACGAATGCACGGCTGCAATTTTCAACAGATTTGCACCAAAATTTACATGCACATGCTCCAAGTTAGCGGGAAGACCAAGACTGACTTTGCATTTCCCAATTCTCATCGATAGTGGAAATAATCGATTTTTTCATGCTTCTACGGCAGTTTTCATGTAGTTTGCGGTCATTTTCTACTGGCCAGAGTGAGAGCCTATAGATGGCTGCCACGAATAGGCAGGAAGATTCTATTGGCCAGCGTGCGAGCCAACAGCTGACTGACATGAATGTTAACTAGCATGCTAGCATGCAAAATAAATCGATAGCTGCATTCATCATAAGTTGGAAAAATTTAAATCTGCATGGCACTTTACTCCAATTGGCTCATTCGCTTACTTAAACTCAACGTTGATTCTGATTCCGCAGAACTGGGTTGGGTGTGAAAAAGTATTTGTTGCTAACAGTCTTTTTTCATTCGTTTTTTCAGTTACGAGTCCTTTTTTAAAATGATCGTTTTGTGTTCTTTTTTTTAGTTCTTTTTTCGTCACAGATTTAATGTTTAGTATAGAGCTTAGAAAAAATTCGCAGTGTGAGATAGACAAGAAGTAAGGTATGTAGCAACATCAGCACGGCAATGGACACTCCTTTAAAGGCAAGGAAGGGAAAATATATTTAAAGTCAAGTGATAGCGATTGCTACATGAGTCGTACGATTTTTGAATCGGACACGGGCAACGCCGGGCCATGCTGCTAGTATACATATAGTGTGTAATGACACATATAGTCCACTAAATTCAAGAATCGACGTGGCATCGATGCAAACAGTCGGACGATCTCTGGAGAGATACTCATTACAGGAGAGATAGGTATTTCCTTATATTTTCGAGGTGCAAGATTTTAAATGCAAACAAACCTCTCAACCATGAACCATAAATTGTTGAAACCATCCAAGGGAAGATAATATTGGAAACGGCGAAGAAGCTGCGTAGGGTGCTGCAGTATTGAGGAGACTTGCTGTCACTTTATTCCTGATGTAAAATGACTGCTGGAGTGAAAACTCAATGAGTGAATAGCAAAAAAGATACTTATAATTTTAATAATAAATGAGAAGACAATTACAGAGACAGTTTACGAGACAAACAAAATAAACTTAGATTAATGGCGGGCGCTGTGAAGAAATCATCTGCAGAAAACTAAAAAATATCACTGTTATTGGCAACCTAGAACAATTCTATAAGGACTAATTATATTAACATTGAAGGATAACAAAATAGCAAATATCAAAGATGTTGCGATAAAGATGAGATCAAAAATGATAAGGAATCAGATAAAGATCTGTGGTAAGGATAATCATGGAATTAGTTCTTACTAGTCTAAAAGCCACACTTCGGACGGACTTTAGGCTAGTTCCTGCAGGAGGCTTTTGGGCCTTCGGCCTTTTACCTTGAGCATCCTATGTACATAAAAGTTATAAGGATTTGGAAATAATTTTATTTATCTTTATTCGGCACCTGAATTCGGCATAATCTTTCTTCGTATACGCAACCGATGTTTGTTTACAATCATTTTGCGTGCAATTTTTATTTTCTTTTAAAATCACCATTCTTTAAGATCCCTTCACATAAATTCTCTCTTGAAAGACATTAAGGAACCCAAACTATGACTTATTTCGAATACGTTATAATACGCGTGCTAGAAAAAAAATTATGAGCATTGTGCCCCACTTAAGTCTTAAGGTATAATGAGACGATGTCAGTTGCACCGAAAAGCGAAATTAAAGTTAAACCTTTGATAAAGAATTGTTTTTTTAAACCATCTACTCTGTTCGAAATTTAAATTTAAATTTGTTATTTATTTAATTTTTTAATATAGTGTAACTACAGTAATTAATACCTGTTACTTCAGGTTGTTTATGATTCGCCGATCGAAAAACGGACGAACGGACGGACACACGTACACTGCGCTTAATTTATATAGATTATATACACTGGCTTATCAATGACTACGTAATGGACGCTTATTAGCGTGCGATATCTCATTACGCGCCTGGTGTTCTATAGAAAGACAAGAGATTGTCTTATATCAATCCCAAATGTTCTGTTTTATAGACAAGCGGATGGTCTTCTAAGCATTATTCTCTTTATCCAAATAGCAATGGGAGTAAATGGGGTAAAGTGGCAACAAAGCCGGAAATAGGTTATATGTAGATGCTGATCTGGTTCAGGGGGAGTGCTGATCCGCCCTTGGCGGGACACGGACGTGTTCGTGTCGCGATTCCGAAGGCTCCATTTTGTACTGTCAGTCATCACGTCGAGATGGGCGAGGAGTTGGTCAGGGAAAGAGCTGATAACTCAGAAGTGGTCCCAGGTATCACTTACCTATCTACCTGGACGAACAAGTGAGGCCCTGAATAAAATATTTACATGTACTATGGAAAACAGGTTTTCTCGATTTAATGTCTTGATGTCATCGTTCACACCTTTCGGTGAACACCGTCGAGGTTGAAGAAATACATCAATCGTTTTTTCACCAGGCGAAAGGATTTCTTTCAATATTAAACATCTCAGTGAATATGATCTGTATTGCTTACGTTTTTTGTCCTCAGCAAGGAAATTTTGCCGACTACTTGTCAGTGACGGAGAAGCTTAAACTAAGTGAGAGAAATCCTCAAATCCTACCGAGTGCGGCTCCAAATATGATGAGGCCGATATTCTTACTGAAGAATTTTAGAGAGTTAAACCTATTCTTTTTACTAGCAAATCTCGATTTCTCGCTATTTGCTGTTTCCGAAAATACACGTATCAATGAAAAGTCCACCATACTCCGGGCGACCCTCCGACGTCAAAGAAAGACCATCGTGGAGAATAAACCGGCCGTCTTAACGGAAGAGATTGCTATGAGTTCGAAAATCCTTATTTAAGCTGCCTTTCGCCATTTTAAGAGATTTGGGCTAAAGAAAAGCGCTCGATTTTGGAGAAATCGAAAAGGTGACAGCACGAGACCCCATGTTGCACATGAGATCTTACAGAGAAATACAAAGTGGGGTGATCAATGGAGGGTCGGTGGAAAACATGGGCAATGTTTTCTCTTTCTTGCAAATTACAAGAAATCGTAAAAATAGTCCATACCGTATCGATGACTGTTCTCTCATATTTATAATAGCGAAATTTTCCGTGCGAACAAAACATTCCACCAATTTCCAGAATTTCGTGATGAGGCTCATGCGAGACAATCGCCATTCATCGCATCTCCGGAATTTTCCTCAAGATGCGGCAGTGAATTGGGGTTCATTGCTTTGTTTTGTTAGCGTCTTGGGTAAGACGATAGACTGCATCCGCACCTTGGGTAAGACGATAAACTGCATCCGCGTCCTGAGCAAGACGATAAACTACACCCGTTTCCTAGTTAAGACAATGAACTACACCCGCCTCCTGCGTAAGGCGATAAACCGCATCCGACAGCAAGACCTCTGATCAGGTTTTGAGGAGCGTGGAACTACCTCTTAATTGAGGGTGTTCCCAGGTCCACTCTAACCCGGGGTACTAACACCTGTTAGGGCCCCAGCCATGGACAAATAGTTGACCCTCAAGATGGGGTCAAAACACTATGAAAGTGTAGAAACAGATTTTAATACTCGCAATATATTTTTGCAAAAGATTGTTAGCAGAAATGAATTTTAGAGAAAAAAATTATTACCAGAAATACATATTCAAAAAAAAAAAAAAATTATCAGCAATACATTTTTGAAAAAAAAAATTACCATCAATAAAAATCTTGTCGGTATAAAATAACCCATAGAGGTTGATATGCCATAAATCAAACCAAATTTCAGGTTATTTCAAGCCAGAAAATATTTTTTTACCTGTAAGATTATTTTGGATATAATATTGACTTTACTAATACAAGTTTATATTTATTCTATATCTGGGGAGGTGAGAAAGAGGTGGGTTCACACCTTTCCCAAGGGTAACTGCGTGTTAATGAATATAACGAACCTAACTGGAATTGGAACTCGACCCTTTCGATTTCTCATTCCGAGCCATTATCCATTATACTATACACATATCCAAGCTTGCAATACTTGGTATTCCCAAGCGAGCACTCATCTATATACTGAACAGACTCGACGTTGCTTTACTTCAGTGATCGAAGGAGAACCGGTGCAGTGAATTGTCTTTTTGGAGTAACCCATCGTTGTTCTCATGCATGAAGCGGTCAGCGACTTGTTTAGGCGGACCGGCTTGGCCAACGCATGTTACATTAACACAGCATACGATAATCGAAATGCAACCAGCCTGCATGATAGCTTACTGACAACTGATACCTATGGTCGTCTGAGGTCTACACTACACCAGAAAACTAAAATCAGTCCGAACGAATATTCTGTTCGTTTGTCGGGATCCACTTAGCGACGAGCCCAGGTGAGGATCTATGTCCGCTGTCATGATTGTAACTGCATTTCTGCTCCCATATTCGATTCAATCTAAGGAACGCCGAATTGACCTCCTGGATAAACGCTTGATACATTTTAAACTGAATTTGGATATAATATAAAGCAGGGTATCTTGTCTATTACTATACAATTCTAGCTAGATATCTCTTTTATTAAGGACCCGTAGTCGGTCACTACGAAGTCTATGTTGGGTGTTAATGTCTTTCATCAGGTATTTCAAATATACATCCTAGACAATAGATTGAAGAATATCAAATATCTCAAGAGTTTTATAAATGGAATAGCTTTTCCGTCAGACACCAACCGTCATGCCTCGTGAGAATTCTGATAATTTACGTTTGCATGAGCAGTCTAGAAGTTGTTTACACTGACACCCTATGGCGTTAAGATAAGATGCCACCGCCTACCATTGCCTTTACAAACTGTTATCTGTCCCGTCAGAGTACATTTTGAATAGTGTTTATTTTTGTTTTGGTGGGCCGCCAATATAAAATGTTTGGGAAACTCTGATTCACACGTTTTTGGGAGACGTGAAAACATGTGAAAATGAACGTGCTGCCTATTATTAATTGTGCTTGGATTAATTTTCCAATCTTTGGAATAGGATGTTCAAAAAAAAGCGCAAAAGAAACGACAGAATTATTTTTAGAAACGTTAATACAGGGTGCTCAGTAAAAAACAAAAAACAAAAAACAAAAAAAAAACACGTTTATTATCAAGGTTTTATCTTTCAGGAATATTTTACCTTGTATAGATTTGAATAAATCTGTTAAATATTCATGACCTTGAATAATCATTCGACTCCCGCGTAATTACTTAACTCTGATTGGTTCTTTTTATGTATGATTAATCGATGCTCGATCCTCGTCATTTAAAGTTTTTTTTGTAGACAACTTTCGTCTTTCGTTCTACCCTTCTCGTATGTCTAAACAACTCAATGATTTTGAGCGTCAAGTCATCGTACATGAGGAATGACGAGATGTTTAGAAATTGTTCCTGAATTTTTCAGTACCATCAGTCGTCACTAGTTTTCTTACTGGGCATCGTGTAGAATATAGAGCAGACTTGGAGTTAGTTAGCTTGATCGGATTAATGATAAAATTAAAAATATGCATAATAATTGGAATGATTGCAATTGTAAAAAAAAATCTCTGAAAGAAAACAAGAAAAAACTGACACTCCGAAGAAAAAAGAGTTATTCAAATGAAAGGATTTTGAACAATAGATTTTTCTTTTACTAAATGCCAACCTATACAAGGTCGAAGAGCCACTCAGTATACAAGGTTACTAAGAGCGACAGTATGATTGGTAAGAATAAGAGGTAAGAAACGTAATTTATGAATATTTTTTAACCATTTCAGCTCAAGCAAATATATGCAGGAGTTTACAGAGAGTGAAAGAGAAAACTCAGAATAACGAAGATTGAGGAAAAGACAAAAGAACGGGATTAAAGAAGACAGAAGATGTCGTCTGGTGTTGCATTTAAATTTTTGAAGATTATTGTTACCAGGGAAGCTAAGAAACGGAAGCGAGACCCACAAGTTGGTACTACGGGAAAAGAAACTGTTGGAGTAGAATTGGCGGTTGCATTTAGTTATTTCTTCAATAAAATGTTGGGACCTAGATGCCAATCTAGCAGCACGATTAAATTCATTAAGTCGGGTCACCAGGGAAAAAAAAAATTCGTCATAAAAATATTTGTAGAAAAGACAGAGAGAAGCCACGTGACGTCGGTAAGAAAGGGACTGAAGTCGAGATGCCAGGTCAGGATCGATTATATTACAGATGCTTCTTTGGATTTTGTTAAGAGCCGCGAGATGAATAGCAGGAGCACCAGACCATTTCACCCCAAGCAAGGCGATAATGCCACTAGGACGCAGGGAGTTAAAAGAAGTAAAAAAGAAAATGAGAGAACTTTAGTGAGGAGAGGTGAGGAAAAGGACAATAAAGGAACAGGATTCAGGAATAGAGAAGATGGCGATTGATGTTGCATTTAAATCTTTGAAAAAGCTAGTTCGCAGAGAAACAAGAAATCGAAAAGGAAGAAACTATTAGAATAGAACTTACGGTTGCATCTAGCTAATTTAACAGTAAAATGGTGAGACTTTGTTGCTAAATCTAGTAGTAAGCTTAAATTCATGCAGTGGCGTCACTAAGGAGAACAGCTCATCAGAAGAAATGCCATAGAAATATTTGTAGAAAAGAGAGAGGGAAGCCACGTTAAAAATGCCAGGTGAGGACCGATTAGATCACAGACCCTTCTTTGAATTTGTCAAAAATCTCAAGATATGGAGTAGAAGCCCCAAACCAGATATCACAACATTATTATATATCTGGTTAAAGATAAAGGTTAAGAATTTAGCGGTCGGGAAAGCATCCTCTTGGGGGCCGGTTCCGCAAAGTAGTGGTTTGTGAAAAGCAGCTGTTCGAGCGGAATATTCTTTTTACTGATGGAATAGGAAAGAAATAAGTATGTTTCGACTCCGTGTAAGTGGCATGGCAGATCATAGCTGTGAGGGTTAGATGTGGCGGAATTAAGTAATATAACTCGTCAGAGTATTTTCTGTGGAAATAGCGATAGAGTAGTGGTAACTTTAAAACCTTTCGTCTGTAGTAAGAGAAAATGTAATATAGGGTGAGAATAATTAATCTCTCAAAAGGCTGGGTATAACTTTTTTTTTTTTAACTCTACCAAGACCGGAAAGTGAAGATTTGATAGGTCCAGCCCAGATGGTCCAGCCCAGATCTAGCAGAGATACTCGGTCTGATCCGGCCATTCTTAAAGGTTGTGTATGGAAGGAGGAATCAGTAAAGGGTACAAGACATTTTGACAACATCTTTGGTGATGGATCGTATAAATAAATTCCACTTAAGATCTGTTCAATGCAAGGGGTCCCCTTGGGAGGACAGTTGAATTTGTACTAATAGCTTGCTTTAAAATTTACATTCTTAAATAGACTATTTTTTCTTGGATATGCCCTACCGAAATGAAATTGGTGCGTCTAATATGTCCGTGCGTCATTTAGTATACGGATTTAAATAGGTAAATACAGTATTTACAGTGTTTAAATACCGCATTTAAGTATCAAATTAAGTACTCATGTATTTAAATAGTCTATTTAAATACTGATTTTTACAGTATTTAAATACTATATTTACAGTATTTAAATACATATTGTATATATCTAAAGACAGTATTTAAATACTATATTTACAGTATTTAAATACTGTCTTTAGATATATACAATATGTATTTACTTATCATTATATCTTTAAACTATTTTTTTTTATTTTCTTCAGCATTTTTACGAATTTTTTTTTATAATTTAACAATTCTTGTTATTTTCATCATCTACTTTTAGTCACATCTATTTTTTATATTACCTTCTTCTTTTTATTATTATTATTATTTTTTTTTTTTTCTTCTTTTTTCGTCTTCTTTTTTTTTTCTTCTATGTTTTCTTTTTTTTTCTCTTTCTTATGTTCTTGCCGCTGCTTCTTTATGCATTTGTATGTTAACACCAGGTGTCTGCAATTTATCAATGGAAACTGAGTGGGAGCAACTTTCTCCTCATTATATTTCTTGTAAATTTGCTTGTTCACACCAGGTGTCTGCTGATTATCGCTGGAGATTGAGTGACAGTAAGTTTCCTCAACAGTTCACCACTCTTCCCAATAGTCGAGCTTAATTAACTATTGGCTTCATGCCAATTCTCCTTGATAACCCCAAATTCGCCTGACTATTTTTCTTGATTTTAATAACGATGTCATAACAACACCTCACCATACTCAGCATTCTCCTCAGTATTCATAAACATTTTATTAATTATGTCCAGTAGAAAAGCTCATATCAGATCTTCTCGATACACCTGCACTTGCCACTTCTTCCACCTCCCTCTACTACTCTCACTCATTATTATTATTATTATTATTATTATTATTATTATTATTATTATTATTATTTCTTCCTGTAGTTTCTGTTGTAAACACATTTCCTTTTGGGTCTCAACCAGAGACGTAAGGTCAGAAATAGTTTCACGATATTTTCCACACATCATTTTTGTAAAATAAATAAATAAAAAACATTTCAAATAACACACATTTTACATGTATAAAACATTTTGTAATGTGTGAGCTGTACTTGTGAGTACATTTTTTTTGTATTTCTTTAAAGAATGGTCTACCAGGAATACCTTCAATGAGTTTATCGGAATATTTTCCAATCAATCCGGGGGCTCCAACTCCAAGTGAAATTATTGATGTCCTTATGTGTGAGATTTTTAGATTTCCACTTCAATATCCTTGTATTTTGATATTTTTTTCTTTGAGGTCTTCAAAGGCACATTACAATCTGCAGGGGCTGCCATGTCAACAAGAAAGCACATTCTGTATTTGTTTTCTATGATCAAGATGTCTGGGTGATTAACATTAATTTTCCTGTCTGTGTTTATTGTAAAATCCCATAAAATGCTCACACCAGTTGCAGTTGCCTTGCCATAAAACTTGCATATTTTCTAGTGCAGATATTGGCCCACTCTATCATGATACAAGAAGATCAGTTATTTCTGGATATTTATCACAGAATCGGCATTTCGGGTGAACACAATTTTTCGGTATGTGTGATTGGTAATTTCTAGTTAGCAACCATTGGTCCTGTGCAGCAAGAATAAAACCTTCGGGTTCAGCTTTTAACCTTGGAATACGTAACCAGT